TTGGTTCCATATGAAGTTTAAGGTGTTTTTTTCCAGTTCTTTGAAAAGGGTCATAGGTAGCTTGATGAGGATAGCATTGAATCTATTACTTTGGGCAGTATGGCCATTTTTACAGTATTGATTCTTCCTAACCGTGAGCACGGAATACTTTTCCATCTATTTGTTTCCTCTCTTACTTTGTTGAGCAGTGGTTCATAGTCCTCCTTGAAGAGGTTCTTTATATCCTTTGTTAGTTGTATTCCTAGGTAATTTATTCTCTTTGTAGCAATTGTGCATGGCAGTTTGTTCTTGATTTGGCTCTCTGTTAGTATGCTATTGGTGTGTACAAAGGTTTGTGATTTCTGCACATTGATTTTGTATCCTGAGACTTTGCTGAAGTTGCTTATCAGTTTCAGGAGATTTTGGGCTGAGACGATGGGGTCTTCTAAATATACAATCATGTCGTCTGCAAATAGAGACAATTTGACTTCCTCCTTTCCTAATTGAATACCCTTTATTTCTTTTTCTTACCTGATTGCTCTGGCTAGAGCTTCTAATAGTGTATTGAATAGAAGTGGTGAGAGAGGGCATTCTTGTCTAGTGCCAGATTTCAAAGGGAATGCTTCCAGTTTTTGCCCATTCAGTATTATATTGGCTGTGGGTTTGTCATTAATAGCTTTTATTGTTTTGAGATACATTCCATTGATACATAGTTTATTGAGAGTTTTTAGCATAAGGGCAGTTGAATTTTATCAAAGGCCTTCTATTTCATCTATTGAGAAAATCATGTGGTTTTTGTCTTTGGTTCTGTTTATGTGGTGGATTACGTTTATAAGCTTGCATATGTTGAACCAGCCTTGCATCCCCGGGATGAAGCCTAACTTGATCATGGTGGATAAGCTTTTTGATGTGTTGCTGCAGTTGGTTTGCCAGTATTTTATCAAAGATTTTTGCTTCTATGTTCATCATGGATATTGGTCTGAAGTTTTCTTTTTTTGTTGAGTCTTGAGGGGTTTTGGTATCAGGATGATGTCGGTCTCATAAAATGATTTGGGAAGAATTCCCTCTTTTTGGATTGTTTGGAATAGTTTCAGAAGGAGTGATACCAGCTCCTCTTTGTACATCTGGTAGAATTCAGCTGTGAACCCATCTGGACCTGGGCATTTTTTGGTTGGTGCGCTATTAATTGCTACCTCAACTCTAGCCCTTTTTAATTGGTCTATTCAGGGTTTCAACTTCTTCCTGGTTTAGGCTTGGGAGGGTGCAAATGTCCAGGAATTTATTCATTTCTTCCAGGTTTACTGGTTTTTGTGCATACAGTTGTTTGTAGTAATCTCTGATGGTAGTTTGTATTTCTGTGGAACTGATGGTGATATCCCCTTTAGTGTTTTTATTGCATCTATTTGATTATTCTCCCTTTTCTTTTTTATTATTCTGGCTTGGAGTCTATTTTGTTGGTCTTTTCAAAACACCAGCTCCTGGATTTATTGATTTTTTGAAGGGTTTTTTGTGTCTCTATCTCCTTCAATTCTGCTCTGATCTTAGCTATTTCTTGTCTTCTGCTAGGTTTTGAGTTTTTTTGATCTTGCTCCCTCTAGCTCTTTCAATTTTGACGATAGGGTGTCAATTTTTGATCTCTCTTTGCTTCTCATGTGGGCAGTTATTGCTATATATTTTCCTCTAGAGACTGCTTTAAATGTGTCCCAGAGATTCTGGTATGTTGTGTATTTGTTCTCATTAGTTTTGAAGAACGTGTTTATTTCTGCCTTCATTTCATTGTTTATCCACTCAACATTCAAGAGCCAGTTGTTCAGTTTCCATGAAGTTGTGCAGTTCTAAGTTAGTTTCTGAATTATGAGTTCTAATTTGATTGCTCTGTGGTCTGAGAGACTGTTTGTTATGATTTCTGTTATTTTGCATTTGCTGAGGAGTGATTTACTTCCAATTATGTGGCCAGTTTTAGAGTAGGTCCGATGAGGTGCTGAGAAGAATGTATATTCTGTGGATTCGGGGTGGAGGGTTCTATAGATGTCTGTTAGGTTCGCTTGGTCCAGATCTGAGTTCAAGTCCTGGATATACTTGTTAATTTTCTGTCTCGTTGCTCTAATATTGACAGTGAAGTATTAAAGTCTCTCACTATTATTGTGTGGGAGTCTAAGTCTCTTTGTAGGTTGGTAAGAGCTTGCTTTATGTATCTGGGTGTTCCTGTATTGGGTGTGTATATATTTAGGATAGTTAGCTCTTCTTGTTGCATTGATCCTTTTACCATTATGTAATGCCCTTCTTTGTCTCTTTTGATCTTTGTTGGTTTAAAGTCTCTTTATCAGAGACTAGGATTGCAACTCCTGCTTTTTTTTTTTGCTCATCAGACTCATTCTCTGTCCAACCTTGTTCCTTTGCTGGTGAGGAGTTTGATCCCTTGGAGGAAGAGCGGTGTTCTGGTTTTGGGTATTTTCATCCTTTTTGCTGTGGTTTCTTCCCATCTTTGTGGATTTATCTACTTGTGGTCTTTGTGGTTCGTGACTTTCAGGTGGGGTCTCTGAGTGGACGTCCTTTTTGTTGCTGATGAAGTTATTTCTTTCTGTTTCTTAGTTTTCCTTCTAACAGTCAGGCCGCCCTGCTGTAGGACTGCTGGAGGTCCACTCCAGACCCTGCTTGCCTGGGGATCACCTGCAGCAGCTGCAGAACAGTAAGGGTCACTGCCAGTTTCTTCTTCTGTTATCTTTGTCCCAGTAGGATACCCACCAGATGTCAGCCTGCACTCTCCTTTATGAGGTGTTTCTTTGGTTATATGGGTTCAGGGAGATGCCTGAGGAGACAGTCTGTCCCTTATAGGAGGTCAAGTGCTGAGCTGGGAGCTCCATTGTTCTGTACAGAGCTCCTGGGCAGGTACATTTAAGTCTGCTGCAGTGGAACTCATAACTGCCTTTTTTCCCAGGTGCTGTCTCCTGGGAAGGTGGGGCTTTATTTATAAGTTCCTGACGTGCTGCAGCATTTTTTCAGATATGCCCTGCCCAGCAAGGAGGTAGTCTAGTCACAGTCTGCCAGCAGAGGTGTTTCTGAGCTGCTGTGGGCTCTGCCCAGCTGCTGTGTGAACTTCCTTGCAGTTTTGTTTACAGAGGTGCGGTTAGAACTGCCATTGCAGACTGCCTTGGTAATGGTGGACTGCCTCGGTAATGGCTGACGCCCTTCCCCCCACACTGAGCTGGACCATTCCAGGTCCAGCTGCACTTGCCGTGAAACTCTTAATCCAGAGCATTTCAGATTGCTTGTCTTTGTTGAGGTGGGACCTGCTGAGCCAGATCACCTGGCTCCTTGTTTCAATCCCCCCATTTTTTTTTTCAATTCAATGTGTGGCTCTGTATCCCAGGTGTTCCAGGCTACAGTTGAAATGGCCGCCCAGATTTGTGTGAGTTTTTGTGTGGAGACCCAGGGCGCGTGCTTAAACAGCTGTGCTGGAAACTCATGGCGCTTTTCCGCCTGGGAATCTCCTGGTCTGTGGGCAGTAAAAACTTGTTTGGAAATGCAGTGATCACTCACCCTCTGCACTGTTCTTGCTGGGAACTGCACTCCAGAGCTGTTCCTATTCGGCCATATTCTCTCTGGGATAATTTTGTTGCACTCCGGGAAAAATATTTTTGAACAAAGATTCACTGCAAAAAATATCTTAGAATCTGAGTTCTAAGAATCTGTAAACTTGGGAATCATAAAGAAACAGTAGTTAAGTGTTTGATCATCAATTCAAATGGTGCCTAATATTTATATTTATTATTTAAATGTGAATGTTATTTTTTAAATATAAATATTTCTCTGCACTTCCCCATAATAACTTAAAGTATAATGTTAATGTCCTCACTTACTCATTTTTACTCCTAGCTATATTCTAATAATATCAAACTTTTTAAGAAATATACTAAAGTACTAAAGTACTTACATGTGGAATTTTAAAAAGTTGAATAAATTCACAGACGTACAAATGAGGACATAATTATAAATACAACTCATAATAATAAAATATACAGTATAAGTTAGTGAATAATAACCAACTGTCTAGAACTTTAAACTTTCTGTTGGAGCCTTCAGGTAAGTGGCAGCACCAGGGAGAAATAAAAGCACGCTGACTCCAAAGCTTGGGAATTGTTTATCGAGTACTCTGTTTTTCTAAACACTGATTATTAAAGAAGTTAAGGTTCTGGAGTATCCCCTAATTCTATTAGACTAGAAAAATGACAAACATCAATAAAACATCAACAGGCATTCCTATGTTTTTGTTTCAGATGTAGCATTAGTCAGAGCAAAAAGAGCAAATTTTCTGCTCTGCATCCATCTTCTTCAATACCTGACAGTCTCCTTCTGCTGTGTAAGCCTTGCCCTGGTTTCCCTGCAGTACTGCCAGAGAGAGCAGAGCGCACCAGAACCTGCTTTTGACTCACTTTGACCATTTGCTACTCTCTACTTTGTGTGTGTGTGTGTTTTTTACCAGTATGTCCTCTACACCGTGGTTCCTTGTAACCATCATTCTCCTCTATACTTCTGTGAATTCAACTTTTTGGATGTCCACATGTAAGTGGGATTGCCTCACAAAGCACTCCATATCTGAATTGTTCTTTTAAATATCCATTTCTCCTATGAGACTGTAAGCTCTTTGAGTGTAAGGACAATGTATTAACCATCTTTGTTTTATTAGTTCTTAATACTGTACTTTGGAACCTAGTCTCTTGTGTTTTGCAAAGGGCAAATCTTACTCAAAGGTTATGAAATACACTCGTTCCAAAAATTGACAGGAATGCCACATTGGCTACCTGCATTAAACAAACATTTCCTCCACCTAGTAGGACACCTGCATTCTAGACTGTCGGGGGTTATCTAGCTAAATGTGAACACAGTTTAGGGTTCATTCTATTGTAAATCTATGATTTTCTTAATACATATTCATAATTGTATAGTTTTCTAATCTAGTAACAGCTGTGTTAAATAACTTCCTCCTCTACCATTTTCCTACTTTTTCTGTTTCTAAAAAGGAGCTGGTGGCTGGACCCCACTTGTGTCAAATAAATACCAATGGCTGCAAATTGACCTTGGTGAGAGAATGGAGGTCACTGCCGTGGCCACTCAAGGAGGATATGGGAGCTCTGACTGGGTGACCAGCTACCTCCTGATGTTCAGTGATGGTGGGAGGAACTGGAAGCAGTATCGCCGGGAAGAAAGCATCTGGGTATGTTTTCTAATAATAATAATTGCTACCTATTGCTGCAAACCTATTAGAAAAACAGAATTTTAAGAATTACTTTGAAAAAAATATTCTAAGTAAAAGTAAGATACGCATTTCATTGAAAACATTGAAAGACAGTCTTGATATTATAGCATTAGTGTAGAAGTTTAAAAATAATACAAATCATATATAATTTATTTTTTCTTGGTTTGCTTAATAATTGAACATTGCATCTACTTTATTTTACAGTTGTAGATTGAATTCATTTGTTTATTTTGTCTGATTTGATCTGATATTTTTGAAAGACACTGAAATTTCAAAATGTAATAAATGAGCAGTTTCTGTATGTATGGCAAGTACAGGAACACAGACTTTGAACTTGAAGAATCGTGTGTCCTTTATTAAGTAGCCAGATTTAGTTTTTCATAGACTATAGATCTCTGTGAGATTCTCTGGAATCTGTAAATATCCCTATAACAGTGACATTATTTCTGTTTCTGATTATATGTCAGTGCCTTTTTGGGGAGGTAATTACGTTTTGTTTAACTTTCGTGAATATTGTAAATGTATTTAATTTATTAAAAATATATTTATTATATAGTGTTTGGAAGTAACCCATATCTGTTTAAAATCTTGCTCTGCATTGATTAATAATGTTTAAAATATTATGGGCAGTTTCCTTATAAAAGAGATGCTAAAAGAGAAAACTCATATAAAGTCTGCATTGTATTTGTAATTTGGCTCTTTCTTCCTCCTGAAAAAATACGTAAATGATGGAGGTACCATCAACATTTGTGTTATCCAGTTAAGGAGTTCAGAGGGAAACCATAGCCAAGGCAATGCCATCTGCCATTTTTGCTTACTCTGAAAGTTTACTAGTGTGTGGGGAAAGAGTGTAAAGGTTAAGGTTCTTGCTAATCCAGAACACTTAAAATAATAGATGTCAACTCTCACAATCCTTCCACATGTAGAAATGTATTGCGCTTCACTGGAACAAATGGTTTACTTTTCCTGGTTCCCCTCACAGTGAGCGCTTCCTTTCAAAGTCACTGTGCCTTTCATCTCTGCATCTCTATTACGGATGGACTAAAATCCTAACTCTCAATACCTCAGAATGTGACCTTAATTGGATACAAGGTTTTTACAGGGGTAATCAAATTAAAATATAGCCAGGAGGGTTGACCCTAATCTAGTATGACTGGTGTCCTCATAAAAAAGGACCTTTGGACACCACGACAGATGTACACACAGGGAACACGGTGCGAGGACACACAGGGAGGTGGCCCTGTGAGGAGGGAGGATTGGAATGATGCATGGTCAGGTCATGGAACACCGCAGGCACCAGCAGCCAGGAGATGGGCATGGAACAGATCCCTCCCTAGAGCCTCCAGAGGCAGCATGGCCTGCGGGCACCTTGATCTTGGACATGTGGCCTCCATCACTTTAGCTACCTAGCTTGTGGCACTTTGTTACAGCAGCTCTGGAAAACTGACTCAGCGTCTATAGCCTAATGAGACTAACAGGACTAGGACATCAGGAAATGTTTCCCGAATTAATGATTGAAATTCATCCTCTCCCAGGATGCCTTTTTTGAAAACAGCCACACTATAAAAACGATCCTTTCTGGCTCTGCACATCTCTAGGACTAAGTTTTGGATTAAAGCAATGATACGTAGTGCTATGAGGGTTCGGGACTCTGCCATCCACCATTTTGAGCTAAAAGGTTTTTGGAGATAGGGCTTTATCTTTCCATCTTCTTCATCCTCAATCACTGTGACTGGCAAATTGTAAACCTTTAATAGCTTCATTTCCTACTCTATGACTAACTATACAGAATTTGTATGGTGGAAAAAATGTTAACACTACTGAAGAGAGAACCCACAAAACTAACCAGAGATGGTTCTTGTGAGTGTTCAATCATGAGACACAGACCCAAAGAGACTTTAGAACGAGAGGCCTTGGAGAAAGTGTTACTATGTTGGTTGCTGGAAAATAATTCAGGAGGATATTTCAGAAAGCAGAAGTAATTCAAACAAAAGCAGGGGTAATGGAGGAGATACCAAAAAAACAGTGAGAGGTAAGGTATGAAATGGCTGTTCCAACTGAGATGGAGAGAATATGGGGAATTTGCTGAAAGTTGTAAAATTGCAAAGAGAGAGGTTGTCGAGTTTGGATTATAAAACACCTATGTAGATTTTTGAGTTTATTTCTTTTTTAAAAAAAATTTAGTTTGATTTTTGTGAGTGCATAGTCAGTGTGTACATTTATGAGATTCATGAGATTTTTGATACATGCATGCAATGCATAATAATCACGTCATATAAAATGGGATCACATCCCCTCAAGTATTTATCCTTTGTGTTACAGACAATTCCAATTATACATGTTTAGTTATTTAAAAATGTACAATTAAATTAGTGTTGACTATAGTCACTTTGTTGTGCTATCAAATACTAGGTCTTATTCATTCTTTCTATTTCTTTGTACCCAATGACTATCCCCACCTTCTCCCCGGCCTCACACAGCCCTTTCCTGCCACTGGTAACCATCCTGATTTGAGTTTCTTGAACTGCTACATTAGCATCTCAGGGACATTTTCTCTATTTGTTTATTAATTCATTCATTCTTTTAGTAAATAAGCAAATAATTATGGTAGAAGTTAGTAATATTGCTCTTGGAAAATGTGAGCTGAGTCCTAATTATCATATCCTTTATTAGGCATGTCCCTACTGTCTAGGGTTTTTCCTATCAAAGCTACCTTTGCAGAAATGAAGTTCACTAATTGATTGTCTCATTTGTATCATTTTCTTGAAATGATGAGCTGATGTTGGCTGTCCTCCAGTCTTATTACTTTTTTAACAATAAATTACATCTCTTGTTGGAGTTTCTGCCCTTTACCAAGGCATTAACTTTAGATATGGATGGATGATGTGAAAGTAGGTTAACTTAAGAAGATTTATTTTTGATACCTAAAATATTAACACTCTGGATTAATGAAAATGACATGTTCTTATGAGCTTATGATTGTCTTTCTCGGAACATTATTATCTTGATTATTATTATCTTTTCCTGACCACAGTTGAATCCCTTGCCTCAGGTTCCTCATATTAACCTTCCTCTACCAGGAGAACAAAAGGCATTTCCGGCTCTCTCCTGGGGATCCTGCTGCTTCTACATTTATGTTAAGGACACATTAAAAATTCATTTTCCAGCCTTATTTATTTCTTGGATGATTCCCTTCTATCTTTTTATGGCTTTTTGTATTGTTTCCTTGGTCTGAGTTTACCCATTATCTATGCTAATGTTTTCTATTATTAAAGATCCACAGTTGCTTACCTGTAATTTTTAATTTCGAAAGCAAAGTCATTAAAATGGTGAACCCCAAGCAGACTCAAATTTATTTAGCAGCAAAATCTGAATGTACTGACTTGGGGCTATTTGCATTTTTTTAGTTACTGTGAATGTGAATATTCATATGTTTTATTGCAAAAATAGTAACATATGTGATTACTAACCTCGTCACTAATATTTGGTGTATACACAATATGAGCTTTCTAATATATGACATGAATCTGAATCTAAAACAAATCTGGTACCATGGCTTTAGATAAGCAATTTGGCACCTGTCATATAAATCATTGATGTTTGATTATCTGAATAGATTAATATCTTAATCCACATTCTTACTAATTATATGCTTCACATTGACTGCTTCAAGGACTGGACTGAGTTTGTATTGAGAGATACCCAATAAAACTAGAAATAACTGCCAGATTTGTGGAATCTTCAGAGTAATGAAAGCTCTGTTCAAAAGAGAGAATCCCTGTTACTTAAAACGGGAATACATGAATCTTTTCTGAGTAATAGAACAAGCTTCATTATGTATTGTACTTTCAGTTAAGAAAATGTATTTTAGGACACAGGCTCACTTGGTGAATAGTAAATATCCTTATCTGCTATATCATTTTAAAAGGTGCCATTACTCAAACAAGGTCAAAAGAATAAACAACAGCAGAGAAGAGGGAAGATAAAAGATAATTTTCTGGGAGAACCACACACAATTTTTTTCTCTATAGTAGTAATAGGAATTGCCTAAAAAAAACCACCTGGCCTAATAAGAACAAATGGTCAGAATCAAAAAGGAGAGAAATGATGTTTGGAAATCCAGCCTTACCATGCTAGAAAAATGTCCTGGAATCATGCTGAGAGATTACACCATGACATCCCACTAACCACAGTCCCAGATTAACAATCACTGACAAGCCATTTTCCCTTGTGTCTATTTCTCACTTATTTCTGAAAGAATAAAGAATTAAACCTTCAACAAATATAGAACTTTTAATTCATTGTGAAATGTTCTCTTCTTTGGGATTAGATATATTCAGGTTATTATCTATCCCTGACACAGGTTTCAGGTTCCCCTCTGAGCACCAGACTCCATTTTCTTTAGGATGTCAAATAGACACATCCAAAACCAGATTTATTATCTCTACATCCTTCGCATCACCAAACCTATCTCCCCTGGGCTTCCGCCTCTCAGTAAACATCACAGCATCTACCAGCTGTTGGCTTGAGCCAACATGTGTGGAGTTATCAATGACTTCCATTCCTTCACACTCTGGAATCAATCCATAGGTATATCCTGTCAACTCAGTCTTTAGACAGATCATGTCAGTTATAGCTTCAGAGTATATGTGGAGTCTGACAACTTTTCATCACCTCTGTCATTACCACGACAGCCCAGTTTCCCACCATCTCTCCCCTGGACCATTGCCATAGCGTCACATCCCATCCCGCTTCTGCCTTTGCAACTGGCTTCCAATTTAAATTTATGGAATTTTATTTTATTTTATTCTAGCTGTGAATTGCAACATATTTTATGCACCGTATGAATGCAGTCATTTTCAAGAAAGAACTGACCTTATTTAAGATAAAAAGAAAGAAGCAACTTGAACCACGTTCTCTGCTTATCTGTGGCTTCATGATATTTTGTGCTATATTGT